CCAAAAAGTTAAGACTCATTATCTTCTTCTCACTGTCTTTTTCAGAAGAAAAATATTTAAAACTTTCCCTCCAGCCTCAAGAGCTGAATTTCCTTTACTAAAGTATCTTTTTTAGTAGAAAATGGCAAACATTCTATTTCAGTAAAGCAACCACTGAAAAGGTGGGTTTGCTGTCTTTTTCACTTCTTTTATTACCTCAAACGCCCACAGCTTAACCCCCAAAGATGTGGCCGAGAGGATTTTTCCCCCAAGATGAAATTATATATTCAGCTATTCTGTCATCTTCCTTTTCTAAAAATCTTCAACCTACTTCTGACATACAACAACACATATCCTTATATAACCATAAGCCTTCCACAATTAGCATTCCAGCTCATACTTTCTTTAAAGCTATGGTTCCCCTTTAATTCCATTAGCCATAGCCTAACTAGGAAAAAAATCCACTAGAATCATAGTTTTCAAAAATACCTTCAACAACTTCATACTTCATCATGACCAAAATACTAGCAAAAACATGGCTACTTAAACCTTACTCCAAAGAAAACTCAAAACATACAATCTTCTGTGGAGTCCCCCCAGTACTCTTAAGCCTACCATCTAATGGAACCCACAACCACAGTGACATGAATCCAAACAGGCTTTCCATGTGCCACTTTCTACTTCTTCATTAGTTTAGTCACGAAAAGCACCAAAATCTGCCAAAACTCATCCACCTGACTGCTTTATTACATGACTACTTTATTTTCACAAATAATTTCCACAAGAACACACCCTGAACTGTTGCTGAGTCCTGATACAACAAATGGGCCATAAATAAGCCCCACTGTACCATCCAATGGTTAAGGTAGTTCTACACCCTAAAAATGACAAGTCATGGAAATACGTAACGTTAAACCCCACCTCAGTTATCCACATAGGACTACCAGCTGTTCCTCTGATCAACAGTAACACAACAAAGCCACCTATAGACACTCAGTACTTCAGGAAAAGGCTTTGCAGCTAATTAAATAGAACTAAGATACCCCACTAACATTCCCTCCAATAAATCAAGAATAAACCTAAAAATACAAATGAGACCTCCAAATTTACTAACAACCCACACTCCAAAACAGACCAAAGTCTGTTAATAAGGAGAAGGAAGTGCTTTTACCCAGGAAATGAGGCAAAATATTTATTAGTTTCCACTTGCATGTCAACGAGACTGATAATGTGAATGCAGTGGGTTTTCAACCACAGAAACCCAAAGGCACCAATCCCTTAAAAAATATTTCTATATGTCCTTCCTTCACCCTCCAACTCCCTTTAACATCAGCTTAGATGCTTGTTATCATGAATTATCTGTCCTTTGGACAGATAGCTCCTCCTCTTTCTTTAGCTGTGTGTCCCTCTGTATTCACCCAACACCTCCTCTGTCATGGCTCCTCTCTATTCAAAGGAACATAAAATGTCGACATAATTTTACAATTACATATTTATAACTGTCATAAGTTATCACCTCACATGAAGGTAAATATTTCTGAAGTTAAATACCTTCCAAAAAATTCCCTCCTCACTCTCTATACCAACTTGGGCCAGAGATAAAATACCACACTCGCATCCTTCTCAGGTTTCACTTCTTCCTCACATTTATCACTGTCAAAGTGGCTGGGTCTGGACCCTTTTTGTAACTTTCTCTGTACAGTAAGGCAACTACTGCTATTTATGGTTCAATAATTAATCCTGAATTTTCACTTAAAGCCTGGATTCAGAGCTCTCTCAGCAAGAACTCTGACTCTAAAGTGAATGCAGTTACTGTCTTAATACAAAATCTTTACTTCTGACAATAAGTGCATGTATAAGTGCAATTAGTATAAATTAAACTTAATTAAAACTGGATCTGTGAATAATTTTAAGCAGCATCTTTTTGGTAGGAATTTGTTGGTGATGTATCTAGTTTCCTCCAAATTAAACTTCACTGAAATCTTATGCATATAAACTGTGTTAGAAGATTTTTTTTAAATGGTAGTTCTTTCCTTAGTAGTTTTCTTCTTTAAGGGCTAATGTATTACCACAAAGAATAGAAATCTATCTTAGAAACTGTCTTCTGTGTATTGATCTCCTTTGTTATAGATATCTCCTATGTCAAATGTATCACCTCCCAAATTATCTTTTAAGTCAGCTCCTAATTTGCCAGTAGCTGCATGGCCATCATGATAATGTCTTGGCAATATATATATATACACACATATATAATAATTGTTTGCGTAAGAATTATAAGATCAGTGAAAATATGATTTTTGAGTACTGATAGGGACCTCATAGTCCAAAAAAAGAACCAGCTAATGGACAGATAAATAAGTATCAGTAAAATCACAAAAGTTATGATTATTCTCTGTTTTATTCACTGTTCAAAGTTGGGGAATGAAATTACGAGGCAGTAGGTTTTAAGCTAACAATAGAAAATACCGTTTCTCATCACATCTATTTAAATTCTGGAACTTCTTGACACGACATGTTGTGAAAGGCAAAAGCATAAAGGAGTTCTAAAGAGTTCAATCTAATTCATGAAGAAGAGTCAAAGGTCTATCAAATATGATGGTCCAGCCATCTGCAAAGAAAATCCTCAACCAGGAGAAGTATTTCTCAGTAATTTCCTGCTATTTACACTACTCCTCAGTCATCCTCCACTTTGCTAGCACTCGAGTCACAGTAGTACTTAGACTTGTGACCTGACCCAGGATGGCAGGGTTTATTAATACTTGTGAGTGTGAGGTCAAGATAAATTAGCTGGGTTTTCATTAGAAACATATGAAGACTGGCTATTCTTTGTACAAGACAAAGCCAGAGGACATCAAAGAGACCTCAAACACATCACAGCCCAATAACATTTTGGGGTACTTACTGTTTATTAAATTTTGGGAGGTTTTGTTTTGTTTTATTTTGTTTCATTTAAAAAAAAAGAAGACAACATCTTTGCATCGCAACTTGGGTTTAAGGTTACCTCTATAAATGAATAACCTTGAATAAGGTATACTTTGGAGACAATGTAACTTGCTCTGAATCTATCGTTATAACCATAAACTATTCAGACTAAAGGCTAACCTCACAATTCAGTCCTGTCAGACAAGGGAAACCATACAAGACAGTAAAAAAGGAAAAAATAAAAAGAAAAAACCCAGCTGCGCTCACAGCATCAAATTGAAGGGTTGAAGAAAAAAATAATCCAACTTATTTAAATATCAGTTTTATAACTCCAGGTGCTTTCACCAGAGTGCCACTGCCCTCGCAGGATGGTACTACAAGGTCCGCAGATCTCAGCACTAATTTATTTGCATTAATTTAAAAATACTAAATCCTGGCAAAGAGGTTTCTTTTTTCATTTTTAAACTTGTTCGCAGGGCCCTGACACATAAACGCAATCCTTCAGTTCCCATTTTGTGTGAGGGTGTTAGGCAGCCAAACACAGATGGATTGTAAGCATCTAAAGCTATTTGTTTAGCAAACCAAATGCTTGCTTTATTATTTTCAAGTAATCAAAGAGCACCTGCTTATTCCTTGTTCTAAACTAGCCAGACAGAAACCAGTACTCCAGCTATAACACTGTCATCCTGGTATTTATAACCCAGGCCATGCTGGGTGGATGTTTATGCACAGCATTGCTGCTTTGGGCAGGGAAAGCTGATAATGAAATGGGAATCTGAAAAGCACTTTTATGTGAAGGTGAGCATTGTGCAGTCCTCCCTGGGATGCCAGGTCGCGTCTGTGCCCTGCACATGCAGCTCCTCACTGAAATCATTGAGGCAGCATTTGCAAAGCCTGGGACAAACCCCACTAGGGCAGCTAAAGAACAAAATACCAGAGCTACCTCATCGTTCCTTAGGAGAGGCTTAAAAGAGTCACAAGCTCATTTTGCACAATTCATCAGGTACCTGGTGAAAGAAGTTCAGGACCAGTTCATAAGCAAGTCGGTTGCCAATTCACCCGTGTTATTTGTTATTCCAGCTGTATTGCTGGTGTCCCAAATGGATTGTTTTTTCCAGCTTGAATAGCTGGCTAGATTTGTTAACCATCAGAGTAACACAAAAGAATATCAGATACCAATTCTAGCGTTCATTACCATGTTTTTTACCCCACCACCCATTTGGACCAATTATGTGCCCACTAGAGCTACCAGGAGTCTTGTCTTCAGTTCTGATAAGCCCTGGGATCTGTGTGCTCAGACAGAGGCAGTAAGTGAGTTGATGGGGTCACAGGTTGGTGTGACTGAAGGTCTATTATAATTTATGCCTAAAACCTGTGGTATCTGAAAAGTAACCACTGATATCACTTGAGTATTGAGCATGCAGGTAAACTTTACGAACAGATTAGTGAGAAATGGTAAATCTACTGGAAAATTGTGATAAAAACCATGTAGCATCTAATAGGAAGCAATACAGAACTAACACGTAGGCACCAAAAAACAGATTTCTCTGCACTGATCCACTGGTGCAAGTAAGGATTTTTAAGTAAGCTGCACTGGGCTAAATGTGCTATTCATTTAAAGTACAAGGTAAGCCAAACATAGAGAGTGCATTTTATCTTTATGTACTTCCCACGATAATCTAGAGCTACTAAATACAGTCAGCTGCTAGATTTTGTCAGAGCGTAAATCCTGATTTTAAGAGAGGACAGTATAAGGACGCATGGATCTGTGGGGAAGCGTTTGCACTAGGGTACAGCTCTGTGTCTGCTCCTACAAAATCAAAGGATGCACTCTTTTTATGGGTATGAGTAATTGGATTAAAGATTCTGTGCTTAATTTTCCACAGAGTTAAGGACATGAACAAATATTTTTAGAATCAAGGTCTCGGTGGTGAACAGTGTGTTATGTTTTACACTGGAGGAATACATTAAACACTTGGTCTGTGTAATTCTTCAGTAATTACAAGAAATGTCTCCAAAGGCAGAATACAACACAGAGGCAAAAACCACTCCGATGAAAACTCCAAATTCTCTGCCTGGTGGTAGGTTATTATACTTACCAATATTGCAATACTTCCCTGCGTAATTTCCTTTGCAATCACATACTATTTTCATGTTGAAGGCAACCATTCTACATTCTCCACCATTCATGCAAGGATCATGAACACAACCTACAAGCAGAAACCAAAGATCAAACCAAAGGTACAAACTGTTCAAGACAATCAGTCCATTTGAACTTGCTTTAGTACACCTTCTCCATGCATATATATTTCTGGGGAAGTTTTTCCTTTTTTACTCATCTCAGACCTACACTTGATATAAATTGAAGAAAAGGAAACTGTGCTGATTTCTTCCTACTGAGGTCTGTCTCATTGTTTTTCCTTTTATTGGATAATGTCAGTGTAGCTATTGAAAAATATTGCCAATGAACAATAGATTAAATGGGGGTGGTGATTATTATTACTACTGGTGATGGCGGTGGCATTAGCATTTCTTTCTGTACAGAGGGTTCTGCCAAATCCAAGTTTGCCACTGAGTTGCATTAAAATTTATAATAGCGTATGTAGCAGGGAGCTTAGTTAAATATTTAGGATCTCTGACTGGGATTAAGTCCTATCAAATTTCCCAACTGTCCCATGGACTCCCAGTGTCCTAGAAAGCCACCAACTCTTTGCATGCTTTAGTTTCCAGATCTGTAAGGTGGGCATAAAAGCACTTACTTATTTCAAAGGACTTTTTTACTCAGCACTGTAAGTTACTTGCGAGTCCGGGCAGGGTAAAAGTCAGCCAGACTGAATCACAGAATAGCCATACCAGAGCTCATATATAGGTGAGGTACATGGCTTGCTTCCCACCATCTCTCCTTCCGAAAGGGAGGTGCTGTGCTGGCTTCATCAGACAAGTGACAACCCAAAACACATGCCCTGCAGCTGGCTGGCCAGCAGTGTCAGGCACCTGGGAGCCCCAGAACAAGGAGGAGGCTACATAACATAAGCATCACCCTGGCCAGAAGAGGATATGTTGGGCCAAAAGTAATGGGGACTCTGTCTGCCCTTTATCCCACTCCCTTCAGGCCAATTGCTGTAATACCAAATAGCGCCTTACTTCTGTGTTCGACACTCTGGCACTCGATCTGGCCGTTCATGCATATGCATTGCTCCACAGCTCCATGTTGGACTCTTGACCAGCTCATGCCCACATCAAAGAACTCATAGAGACTGCTGTCAAAACATTTCTCTGAAACACAGTTTAAAAAACAATACAAGATTCCTGATGTTATTTCTTGCAAGGAATGGCACTACAGTCTCCATCATTCCCTGCACATCCCTTTTTTCCTGTTGAGCAGATACCTGTTGATGGTGCTTCTCAAGTAAGCCAGACTCCATAGTATGGAGGCACTAAGCCAGCAGCCACAAGGAGCTGGAGGCAGAGGTGGCTTTCTCCTAAAGCCCTATGAGCATTACAGCATCACCGCTACTTAAGCCCTTCTAGGAGTTTATTCATTGAACACAAAAAATAAAATCAGTGCTATATACTTGTGTCTGTCCCACTTTACTGCGTCATCCACAGATGATGGGCTGTGCTATAGACAGTGAAACACCAGGACTGAAAAAATCTCCTTTGCTTGCACAGAGAGAGAATTCTAGAGCTGCTGACAAAAGCCGTCATTGAACAACAGCAAATGCAACTGAAAATCCGCAGTAAAAAACCTAATACCTCACTTCATGTGCAGCAAATTGGGGTGACACCACCATAACACTGGGAAAATAACCCAGGAAAAGCCTTTTGGCCTGACTCTCCCCCTTTGGAAGTAACTACACTTAAGATGGAGTAGCTACCCAGGTGTAAAGCTGACATCACAGGAAAAGTCATAATAGACCCATGTGTGCGTATACATAAGCAATAAAGCATCACCTGAAATGTTGTTGGTTTTCCATGTCTCTCTGCCCCTACCTACTGGATGATTTTATTCGTGCTTTCCAACCATGTAAGGGATATTCAGATCTTAAAAACAGCAAAGGGAGGGGAAGAGGCTCTTTGTGTTCCCCATAGCTTAATACCTCACTGGCTCAGAGGATGTTTGGATTTATAGCTATATAATTGAGTTATTTTCAGCTGTCCTGTCAGTAATGGATTGTCTGTCGTAACCATTTGGCAATCCGCCTACACAAACATTCATGCTGCAGTGGTCTCCCCCATCACAACAGCACTACCTATTCATTAAGTAAACATTAATGAGCTCTACTTACTGCTTGTATTTAATGTTGTAACGCCCATGGAATAAGATACTTACTTATCTGACAGTCCTTGCCCGTGAATTCCTCGGGACAGGTACAGTGGTACATCCTGTGGCCATGAGTGAGAGAACAGGTCCCCCCGTTTTGGCAAGGGTTGTTTGTGCAGTGATCTAGACAGGCCACATAAGAACTTGTTGTTAATAGGTGCCAGATAAACTCTGTTTTGTTGTGTTATGCGTTGATTTGGTTACATCAACCATTTTGGTTCAATGCACGATGGTTTCAGTAACACTTATTAATATAAAACAATGTTTATCCAGCCAATTTGCGTTGGTTTTGTTTCCAGCTGTATAGCAGCTATATTTATCCAGCTTTTAAAAACCATGTAGTAAATCACTGAGCTGTACCTTCTTCCCCAGAGAAACTTGGCTGAAGGTGGTAGGTCCAGGCACGCATGAAGTTGCCTGAGCTGCCGCTGTGGTGAGGAAGAAGATGGGACAAATGCCCACAAGATGGAGCTGTGCCTTTACACTGGGGAGGGAGGGCTGCAGCTCTGCCTCTGCCCGGATTGCTTCATATTTCAACATCAGAGACTGGGATAGTGCATCTCTCTTTCAAATTACACAAAGGACAACTCTCGACAGAAGAATTTGTCATGGATTTTTTTGGATTATATCTAAAACTAATGGGCATCTGGAACAAAGGAAAAAATGTTACAGCAAAACAAGGGCACATCCATGTAACTCAGGCCACAGAAGATAAAACTGAACCAATCTCATGTCTCTCTGATTTTTAAAGAATTTTCTAAATCATGGGAAAAGAGGGTGGGAGAGGAAAGGGTGTGCCAGGGCAACCCTCTAACTGCTGCCATGGAAGCTTTACTTGGCAATGTGCAACGCGAAAGTTGTAGGAGTCTTGCTGGCAGCCAGTGTTCCTGATTTCAGGCAGTGTTGAGGGGCGTATCTCCCCTGAAGTCAACCAACATCACGCTTTACAGCCACTGCAGAGCTGGCCCAACAGCTTAGACAAGCATTCAAATTCTCTTTTTTAACACTAACCAAACTCTGCGAGAGCAACTGTAGAGTTAGTGAATGCAGGTGCTCCTTCAGCTAGAGTGTGTGCATCAGATGCAGTACATAGAAACACCAGCATATACATATGGAGCTGAAGCAAAACATGAAAGGTATATATTGATCTTTGCTACAGTGGCATATATGTGAAGGTTCCCCTGCACAGATCAAAATATTTACTTCAGTAGAGAGTGGTGTAATTGATACCAGATAAAAGTCCTGGGTGTATTCACTGTTAGTTTCATTCCAGGATAACATCAAGGGAAAGCAAGTAAAGGCAGTGATGTTTTTACTGTTCCTGCCATTTGATAGTTATGAAACTTTTAGTGGTGTAATGCTTTCTCAAATGAAAATCCTGTGTTTCCTATTCCCATCACATTCAAACCATGACTTTGTCTCCAAGCCATCTTATGGTACAGAGGTGTTCATATTATTTGTTGTACTCTTGTTAAATCTGCAAAGAGTACTTCCAGTCTCTCACAATATCCCACTGACCACTCCAGCCAGACTTTCCCAGGGTATCCTGCATCCCTCCCACCTTCCCCGAAGTCCAGGAAAAACTCTTTAAGGGATCCTGCCCACCATTAACTATCCATTAACTGGGGAGTGCCGAGTCCCTGCCTGCTCAGCCAATGTGTAAAGCCACCCAGCAGCATCTCCCCACCCTCATGGGTAAAACACTCCAAGCTTGCCAGCAATCACCTTGACTTCAGCTTCACCTCTCTGAGGTGAACAAGGAGTAGCCTTGTCTGGCCCATCTACCCCATCTTCCCACAAAAACTTTCTGTTTCTGCCACCCACCTTTCCCAGAACCAGGACTGCTCTTCCCCAGAGCCCCTCCTGGAATGATGCCTCTTCCTCCTGCCTGCGCAGCCCACTCTGCTCTACTTCTTCTTTCTATATCAGTCCAAATGTCTCTTAAAAAAACCTCACTGTCTGACACTTTTCTCTCAAGTCTAGACTGCCCTGGGGTTTTGGCCATTGGTCCAAGATTTCTGGACATCCGGAGCACTAGTCCTAACAGACTGCCCAAGATTTGTAAATTCCATACCTCCCTCCAGTAGAGCCTTCATACCTGGGCTTCACTTTGTCTTGGAGCTAAAGGCTGTTCGGTTAAACTTTCTCTTGAAGTTAGCAGATGTATTTTTCTGGATCAATGCCTCCAACACTTGCTTAGAAGTAGTTTGTAAGCAGCTCCAATGGTTTCAAGTCTACTCCCCACATACACATGGTATTCTTGGCCAAGAAAGCATCCATGCTTCAGCCTTTGCTCTCTAGCTGCTTGTTCCCCATCCTGGTTCACACACTTCTCACCAATCTCTCACTGGCAACAGATACACTCTTGCCCCAACATTCCATTTTTTCTTGTTTTTCAAGTGTATATAAAATGGTTGAGATTACCTTAAAGACGTGATATTTTAGTAGATTTTTTTCTCAGTTAAATAGTATATTTTTCACATTTTAAAGAACAGAATTATTCAGTTTGACTGCTTTTTTCTTCCCCAATAGGTCAACTTTCCTCTGTTTGCTTGAAATTCCCTTCAGCCATTATGCCACTCCTTCCTTTCAACCTCACCATAAATCCTTTCTCTTTAAACTGTGGCTTACAATCTGTTAAACCTTTTACAAGTCCAAACACAGTGCCTGCTGATAAAAATAAATAGATTTATGTTATAAATAAACACCTAAAGACTTTTTAATGTAATTTTACAAAATTCTTAATGCTTCCAGCCATAGAGTCTTTTCTTTGCAACAGTCAACAGTGATCTCTTCCAGCTACTCCATCTTTTTTTCCTCTTTCCTTTCCTCTCTCACACATATAACTATTTCTTGATAAAAAACTGTAACCAAGACCAGCCCTCATTGGCATTAGGTTATATTAACAACAATACCCCTCAGCAAGCAGCAGGCAGACAAGATGGTTTTCTTGTTGCAAACCATCCTATCCGACAGTGTGGTGGGTATCAGGCAAAAAAGAGCCAGAAAGCCCCAAAAGGCTCATGGGCAGCGAGCTCTCTGCAGAGGTGACTGCTTGTGGGGCTGGCAGGGCCACAGCAATGGGCTGCACAAGGCACCCCCAGAAATGCAATGCTAGGCTTAGAGAGTGCCTTCTTCAGCTACTGGAAAAGCTTCCTTGAGTCAGCCAGCCCCCACCGTCCCAGTCTGTGTTTCACTGGAGGATTAAAGCAGTCAGGAGTTTCCACTTCCAACACTTTCAGCTCTGGGAAGGCACTCACTAATGAGTAAGCGCAGTCCTCATAACCTGACTCTTGCAAGCATGAGCTGGCTATAAAGTCTACATTTGTGTCTGACATACTTGCATTACAAAGGCAAATGCATTGCTGCTTGTTTTGGGGTTAGGACATTTGTCTCTGATCTACTGTTAATCTGTTTTAAAGCCAGGCTGGAAAACAATTTAAAGTTGTTAAGTTTAAAACAATGATGCTGCGAACTGCTTAATTTTAGACTCTCGTCATGATTCAGCTAACATTGGCTTTTCAAGTGCTCTGGTAGATTGTAATCAGCTTGGCAATGAGTGTCCTGACATGACAGAGATCTTCCTGCAAGGTGATGGTGGAAAATGCCCTTTGGAATGTGGGCAGTGAACATCTGAGGGCATCTGGTCATATCCCGCAGACTAAATAAAACAGGTCATGTTTGAAAGTAGTGCAAAGGAGAAAGAGGAACATGGTCAGCATTTAGACATAGATACAAATAAAAACCTTAGGAACATCAAGTCTGATCAGTGCAACACCCGACTTTTCAGTGCTGGTCTGTCACTGTATAAATTGGGAATTAGATACATACATTCCTTAAAAAATGAGATGCCCCAGCATCCAGCTTGTGAAACATCAAGTTGAGGAAACAGAGACAAGCAAGGGCCAACCATTGAGGTACTGCTGAAGACAGGGATGCACGTTCCCCAATTAGTTGCTTGGGACATGATGCTTTCACCCAGCATGTCAATAACAGCGACTTCTATAGGAAGGAGAGTTTGCCGCAGACCTTGGCTTCCCATTTTAGACAGACTTTCACAATGAAGTAATTGTCGCACTGGAGTGTGGTGACCACATGAAGCCACAGCACTGCTCAGCTAAGTAACCCTTTAGTTGTGCCTCAGTACTCCTGCAATGAAGGCAACTGTCCTCCTGTCTTCTCTGACACAGTCCAAAGCCCAAGGAAGTCTGATTTTGAAGGGCTGCTGAGCCCTTCAGCTCAGCAGATCAGGGACCCTGAGATCTCAAGAAGGACGGCTGGAAATGATGGCTGTGTGATGTACAGGGTGTGAGATGTTTCTGTGCCTTCTGAAAAATTAATGGTCAAAGAGAGAGAAAATGTAGCTGATTAAAGAGGGGAAAACTAAAAGGCACATCCAAGCCATGAGTGAGGACAAGACGATCACCTCTGTGCTTGGCCCCAGCAAGAGTTCAGATTTCCATGTTGGCATTACCATAATTTCTCTCCATGACTTCAAGTTAGTCAACAGAGGGTGAATTAAAGACTGTGTGATATTCAAAGTCCAATGCTATGGTTATGCAGAGTCACAGAGATCCCAGAAATAGCTAATGGGAAGGCTTGCTTTGTGTACATCAAATAAAAGTAGCACTGAAGGCACCATCCTGCCTTACTGCAGGTGGCAAAGCAGCAGCCAGGTTTCTGGAGCAAGTTGCCAATTGCTCGTCGTACCTGAGTGGTCTTTGGGCAATGAAGCACAGTGTCCCCAACTCCTGTCTCGATCATAGTTATGTGTTGTTGAACACCTGAAAAGAATTAAAGGTGCAGTTTAGTGCAGCTTTAAACAGCCTGGACGTTTGCACTGAAGCTATATGACCTTCATTCTTTAACGACCTGGAAATTCATACTTCTTTTCCTAATTAGCATCTGTTTCATTCAAAATGTCTTAACACCAGAGGAAAAATATGCTTTTTTTCTGTTAAAGATGCTCTGCCCTGTTCCAAATACAGATGGGTAACAAGATGTGGAAGCAGGACCTGAGATCTCCAGTGAATCCTCCAGAAAAACACAACTTTCTTTCTATTTCTAAGATTAGAAAACGAAAGACAGAAATAAAAACCAAAACAAAAGCATGTAAGTTATGTCTCCTTTGTTCATCACAAAACAAGCAAAACAGGACCCAACCTATTTTTTATGTCTGTCAGTTACTACTACTAAGCGACCATAGAGGGACTTTTTCCTGGCTTTCTGTGGCAAATGTATTTTGCACTCAGTTCCTTTAAAGTGTTTCTATTTTTTAACTTGCCAGACAAAAATGAGGAAATAACTGTCAGAGGGGGATTTCCAACTGCACAGATAAAACCTCTCCTTTTTGCAGAGCTGAGGGCTGAATCCCGCACACCACGCCACCTATGGGAATCTACCATGACAAACTTTGACAACGCTTTTATCCACACACTTTCCTTGCCCTCATTACTCTGTTACATCCAAGACCCATAACTCTCCAAGGAGCACTAAGCTGCTATTCTCTATTTAGAGAGGTAGACTTACAGGCTTCCCCAAGCCCACACAGGGAGCGTGTGACTGAACCGAGGCTGAACCTTGGAGGTAAATGTTGTGTTCCGATTCACCGTCTGCCAAAACATTGTCCCTAACCAGTTCTATTGCAGCAGAGTAAATATCAGTGGCCACTGCACAGTAAAATGAGTGGCTACATGGTAGTGGAAGAAATAGGAATTTCCTTTGATTAGTGAGCCTGATAATCTATTTTTATTACATATGTTTTTATCATACCTTGAACAGTTGTGCTATCCAATATTTTTTCACCCTAGGATGCCACAAGCTAGATTGAAATTTTATTGTAGAGCATGTATACCATTTTAACTGGCCTACTTTACTTCTTAATTAGATGCTATGTGGTATTTTAAATGCTTTAATTCCTATGGAGCATCTGAATAAGCCACACATATTAAGTTTGGTGACCTCAATTACGTAAGGTGCACAAAAAGAAAGGTGCTTGGTAGTCCAGTGCAGATTAACTTGACATGCTCTTAAAGAGGCTGTTTTCTCACAGGCATTAAGGACCATGTGATTCTGCTGGGAGTTAATGGAAATTTCTCTTTCAGTGGGAAGTGGATCGTGCTTTTTTAAAGGATGGTCTATATGCATGAGGATTAAGGTGAGCAGCAAGTTAAAAGTGGTTCTTGGGGGTGCACTGCTTGTGCTAATGTTGGCAAAACCACCTCTACTGAACACTTTGTGCCCACCACGGTGGGTAAGAAGAATACAGACATTCCTGACTAATGGAATGATGGATTCAGCAGAGCCACGCTATGCTGAGCAGCATGGGAGAGGCAAAAGGAAAAGGCCTCATATACATCTAAAGAATTCAAGCTGACTCTGATCGTTAAGGGAAAAAAAACAATTTACATGCAAATTAATACCCTCTGGAGTCTGTCCAGTAGCAGCCAGCTTCTAAGCAAATGGAGAATTCAGGTTTTCCCCTCTTAAATGTTTTTTGTCATCAGAGACCCTGACAGACGCGTCTTCCACCAGCTTTCCAGAACCTACTGCTCCTCCCCCAATACCCTTCACAGCCAGTCCCCGCCTTCCCTATCTCCTCACAGTGACTACGAAGAGGTTGGTCCTCCCCTGTGATGCCAGGCTTCCTTCTTTGTGCCAGACTACTTGCACATTCACATAATCCTTTTATATTTTTTGCCACATATCTCTCACTTTATGGGAGAAGCTCAGACTATCCTCAAAGTTATTTCACTAGTCTCTCTCATTTTCTTTTTCAAACCTCTTCTTTGCTGGGAGGCTTACCAAAAATGTGATTACATTTTGGTCGCATGGGATGTTGCCTCCTTCAGCCACACCAACAAAATGTGCCTATTATTTCTTTGTACTGCTTGTAAATGGACCCACTCTCTAAATTTATGAGATAACAAATGTCTTTACATCAGCCTGTCACATACAATTGTTAATAAAAAATGAAAACTTAAAGACACAGATACTGAATTACACCAGAAAATTCCACTACTAGGGATTGATTTAAACAACATTTTAAACCCATGTGTGATAAACAACATTGGAATAGATGGACAAAATGGTGTATCACCTACCTCATGAGGCCTAAATGGTAGGCAGGGTAAATGAAAAGCAAGCTTTTTGCCCATCAGGAACACTGGGAGCCTGAATAATAGGACATTTTGGAGGGCAAGCAAAGCCATTCTGGTAGAATCACAGAATCACAGAATGTTAAGGATT